AGGTGTCCGCCATGTTCGGTTTTACAGTAAATACGCGGGTTGGGGAAAAATCGTAGTTAATACCAGCTTAATAAGGGGTCTACTTAACAGAGGTACATTTTCATGTAAGTTCAGAGATGTAAGTTCTTGAATGAAGCAATTTCTAATTTCTGTAACCATGAAGTCAAATATTGCAAATACGATTGGCAACTTATAGCATCTTCTCTGAGCGCTTTACACATTTATTTGCTACAAGATTCCGTCGCTTCCATTTTCTGACGCAWTAAGCGAATGAATCACCCGGAAATAAACTAAACATAATTCAGATATACTCTTCTAAGTTTGTTATCTAGTTTCTTTTGAATACTAAAACAGTTTCCTTACCGTTTGGAGAAAAAATGCTAAGCTGAACAAGGATGAAGAAAAGAAATCCAAGCTTCATCTTCATAATGACAAGTGAATCACGTTAAGAAGAGACAGAATATCAGCTATTTTATGAATATCTTATCTGGTCCGTCAGACACGGTCACGGTCATTAACCATGTAATGTTATTGATACGAAATGCCATACACTAAACATTTGCACTTGACTTTACAATAAAAGATCATCAAGCAGTCTGGTTCTTAGTGCGCCTGGATCAAAATCTAAACAGCTTAGAGATAGATCGTTTATTTTTGCGCTCCCAAATGAAGTTCGCGAAATTACATCTATTAAAACTTTTAAACGTCATCTGAAGACTTATCTTTTTAAATTAGCTTATAAATGCTAAACTCCTATCAGTCTACTTTTTAGTATTTATAAATACTATCGTTATATAATTATGTTATTTATGGGTTTAGTATTTTATAGAACTGGTTTAGATTATTATTATTATTATTATTATTATTATTATTATTATTATTATTATTATTATTACTATGCTCGAAGACTCGCGGCTCAATAAAATATTCCACCGATAATCACTTCGCCTTCGGCTACTAATTGTTAGCACATGGTATCGATCAAACGAGCTTGCACCTGGACCTTTCAAATGCTTATAGCTGTAACAAATGCATTATCTGTCATATTGACTGTGCTGTAACCCTTTTTGTCAAGCTGTTTGTAACATGGCGTCAGTATGCATATCTACATGCTCTAAAGGCAGAAGAAAACTTCATTTCTCTTCAGGAAAAGCATGCCATATTGAACCAAGGTATTCCCCAGTCTGTCATTACCACCTTCCACATTTAACCTTTTATCTATGTCGAGGAGTTTTCTAAATGTAATGGGCTTGCCTTGTTTTCCTCTCTCCTCAAAATCGACTACTAAATTCCAATTCGATCTTGGGCTTCCACCTAGTTGGAACCAGCTCTGTTGTGATTGTCCCACGCTGTGATACAAAAGCTAAAGCTTAATATGTCCCCCCCCCCCCCACCTTATTTCCAAGAAGCTTGCAAGAAGCTTTGAACCCAAGCTTACACCATATTTACCTTCCCTTTATAAAGGTATTTACATCTTGTTATCGTCATTTTTAATTGTTCTATTTTCTCTCTTATGACTAACAGCCAAGCTACGTCGTGCTTTACGAGCATGGTTTGTCGTTACTAAAGAATCTCTACACAAAAGAAACCAGAACATTAGATCAAACCAACACTACAGAAAAGTGTTACTTCTTAGATCAATGAACGGATGGAAGTCCTATGTGCGTCTTTGCTTTAGAATCAAGGTAAGGGGAGTGGGCTGGGGATCTTTGGATGTGATGATATTGGATAAGAGGGATAATATGATTCATATAGGACCCTTTCTATATGTCATAATCAAAGGCGCTTGGTGAATCAGGTATTGGATAAGAGGGATAATATGATTCATATAGCACCCTTTCTATATGTCATAATCAAAGGC